TAGGCTAATTCGAATAGCTCGAATATGAATGGGGTAATAGGTAGTAGTATTGGCATGCAAGCACATGACTCATGAATGTAGCCTATCGGAAATTATCATCGCTAAACAGGACATTGCGTGTCGCATAATTGCTATTGGAAGAGGAACGAGCATTGAATCCTCGTTGAAAGGGAGTGTAGGTACAAGAACGATCGATTCAATGCCAGAGGTCGATCTTCTCTAGCTGTAGAAGGAGTTATGTTACATTCAAATACCGAGTCATTACAAAGCGATCAACGAACGAGTATACCTACATCCCATTAACGGAAGAAAGGGTTCATCTCCGAATGATTTTTAATTTCTCGTTGAAAGAAAGATATTAGGATGATGTCGTCAATCATCGATGATTAAAAAATCATCGTCGTACGAGTTGCCAACGACTAATAATCAACGAATGAGAAAGAAAGAAAGGAAGGAAGGAAGGAAGGAAGGTAGGTAGGAAGAAAGGAAGCTTCATGCGTATCGTTAGTTCGTTCATTCGTCATTTAATGGGGCTGCACTTGTGTAATTAGTCGTTTTACGAACATCTCGCCGTAACTTATTACCATCTCTACCTTTAGGAAGAATCGAGATAATTGGAAAGGCTCGTAAAGATGGAGGGCCCAAGCGGAGTTCTGATACCGGAGAGGTAATTTCACCTTAAACGTGATCTAAATTAAGCGCATTGCTGGTTACCGGGTATGCAATTATGCGAAACGCAGCAGAAATCGGGAAGGGAAAAGAAAGAATGAGAGCATACGAGTGGAGGGAAGAGTCGGAGGTGAATGAGTTTTATGGGAAGGGGGGGCTTTATTAGGAATCGCGTGTAGAATGAAAAGGAAAAGGTTGGTTGATATTTTGAAATTTGGTTCGTTCAGCTACGTTTATCGGGTTAAAAGGGAGCGTTAATCGGACTACTTCCTTCGTAAAGTGGTTCTACAGGCCGATGAAACAAAATTACAGTTCTCGAGCGTGCAAAGACGACGACGACGACGACGACGACGACGAGGTTGCTCGAACAAAGGCAAGAGCAGCAACCTAACCATCTTCTATTCTACTAGCGTTTCCGTTGATCCATTTATCCTTCGACCAAAAGCAACCTCCAAAGGGAAACCACTAACCAGTCTCGCGTGTCTTTCTTGGATCAAAGTAAATCCATCGGACAACCTTGAATCGATTGGATTTTTTTGAAAATTTTCCTTTCAACTTACTTCCATATATAGAATGTTATATAACAAGAAGAGAATAGGAAAATCAATGAAATCAAATATCAAAGACCAACATATTAAACTTTGATAACAAGCTTGTAGATATTTTGTTTACACGTAACATTGTTAAGTATTTAGAATATTAAAGTAATTGGTTAATTATGTTATCGCATGAACCGCTCATAGTAATAGTCCAGGTCCAATCGTCAGTGCTCCACGTGCTTTTGAATTTTAATCAATTAATCAGATAATTCAGCATATCGTATGTATAATCCAATAAACACAGCCTGTTGCACTCAACGATCTTACGAATGTATCGACCGTAAACGAGATGGCTAGCGGAAAGGGATGCCTGACTAATAGCTTGATTAGAACGATTAGAGCATTGGTCGATGGTTGTCCTATTGGTTCAACCAATGTTGATAATCGTGCACGAAGTTTGCATTTCAAATCGCATATCGACCATTAGTTGATTTATTCAGTTTTCCTCAATGATCTCGAAACAATGTGTTCTGGTATGATCCAAAAATTGTATTAATCATCGTTAATATCTAAGAAAACAAATGTTCAATAACGTTTCTCTTTTAAAATCTAAAGTCTCCTCTTCTTACTATGAACTTTAACGTATTACAACCATAAATATGCTCGTTTTTATCAATGCCCGTACCTTTTAATTAAGAATAAAATTTGCCCAATTCAGGAACGTTAAATGAGAATCCTTTACGGTCGGAAATTACCGTAAATTCTTTAATGTATATTCAAAAAGCGCGCGCCAATTCTTCCGGAATTTTCCGAAGCGATGTAATCGTCCGTATCCGCCACTTTTAAATGCCTTTGTAATGAGACCCTTGTGGACTCAGCTTTCGAAAGCTTTCGTTCTATTTTCTTGCTGAACAACCTCGAGGACAGATCTTTGGAAAAAATAACGAATCATCCATTGTTGCAACACGAAGACTCCTTGTAAACGCAAACGAGACGAATATTTTCCATTGTTAACGAATATGCATTTCTGTATACTTTTAAATAACATCGTAATCTCATCATACTCGTATTAATTGTATTTATACATACATAAAAAAGAGGTTTTTCTTTGTATGCCGAAAGGCTTTTCCCTAACGAGCCAATAAAGTTTTCCTGTTTCTATTGGCTCAACCACGCCTTTTATAATATTGAATTTAATTAATCCTTACCTTCTCATCACCTAAGCCTAATTGAAATTACGAGAAGAGGACTTCACGTTGGAGGAATCTTCGGATATACAAATCTTTTGAATCGGAATATAATTGACCATTTTATAAATAAAACTCGTTGAATAGGACGAAGGAAAGGAAAGGAAAGGAAAGGAAAAGAAAGAAAAGGAAGACCATTTTCTTAGAACTGATTTTATAAAAAATCTTATGAGTCCTTTGTTGTGTGTAGTATTTAATGGAAGACCGAGTTGATTAGTAAATTGATGAACCACGAGTAGTCTGCTTCGATCACGGATGTTGATCAATTACAGTAATTGTAACTCACCCTCTTGAAACCACCTCCACCCCCCAAAGTCCTCGTCACGCAAACTATTGTGTCCGTTCGTTCTTACTCCAATATCATCACGATCGTCCAATCAAATAAATAATCTGGATCAATGTTATTGTTTTTTCTTCTTATTATTATTTATAATCTTTTTTGCTCTCGTTCGTATCGTATCGTACTCGAGGAGATTCGAGATTAATACGCATGAGATAAAAAATCGTATTGTACAAATAGTTTCTTTCTTCTCGATATTTTACAGGATTTCATAATAAACAAGAAGAGAACGATCGATGAAAAATAATTCTCCGTAGGGCTTAATTGTTTTTTGTTTTATCCTTAATGAAGGAAAATCCATTCGTCGTGTGAGAGGTAGAATGGGGAACGGGGTTAGAGAAGTACTAACAGTAGGAGAAAAGAAAATATTTGTCGAAACTCGTGTATCGGTAAACTCGTATAATCCATAAGCGACCAGTTTGGATTATAGTTGGAAATTTAACACAAAAAGAGAAGTTAAAAAGATCGTGGCATCGTGTTAGCAAAGCTATTCCAATGTGTAGCACACATATTTTCCTAAAGCAAAGAATCATTGGCCGAACGAATTGAACTAATAAGCAAACAATTAAAACGTTTGTGTATGATAAAGCAATTAAGTAATTTATTGGAAAGCATTTCGTAGCTCGTTACATTCGTATTCGAAGATTTTTCTTCGATTTTTATTTTAAATTCGTTAATATGATCAATTAGTCTAAGTTAATCAACACGAAATCAATAAATTTAATAATAAAATGAAAATATTATATATATATATATATATATTTGTTTTTTTGGTTAACGCGATCAAATTTTATACGAGATAAATTGGTCTCTTTGATTTTTCTATGCTTTTTAATATTTACCACGCGATAGTGATTGCAAAGTAAACTTAAAAGCATTTCACTGTCGAAGGATACGCTTTGGTAGACATAAACTCTTATAAAACTTGACAGTTCGTAACGTCATTAATTTCAATTACAAAAGAAACTTCGTATCTACCGAAATGCATCGTTAAAAAAAACATACCTGAATGATGGTCGATAAAAAAAACATTTATTTTTTATCCAGATATTACTTTCGATAGCAGGAAAAATTGCTTCCACTGCTGAAAACAAATTTTATCTTGTAAAACAGAAATATTTCTAATATTCGATTTTTAAAACGCAAAAG